GGTTCTTATCTTGAAAGGAGAGCTCCAACACGCAGACAAGCAAAATAATGGGTAATACATGCCGAGCAAGAAGAGATCGAGATCGACATGAAAGAGATAATTGAGGAAAGCCTGCCAAAGGCTCTCGTATGCTCGTCACGGACCCTATTCTTCTTCCGGCCGGTTTCTATCCCTTGTCCAATTACGGATTGAAGTACGTTACCTTATTGGCTTATCTTTTGGTCTTTCTGGGAACCCACGGTAAGGAGTGGGAAGCGTTCCCCTTTTAGGTATTGCTTCAGGTATGATTATTGCTGGAATCGCATCGCTCTTGATGAAAAGCCATTAGATTCGGAAGTATCGGGTCAATATCAATAAGCATCTCCCGGAATGGAGACTCTCTCTAGCCATGACCCGTGGCTTGGTCTCCACAATCGTCCTCGGCAAGCTTGGAAAGACTAGAGTATATGCAAGTACACCGTAGACTTTGCCGACAATTGCTGGCTTCTTTGTCGGCTTCTGTTTCTTATTGACATTCATGCAACTCATGCATGTTATTGACGCATATCTTAGGTTGTGAATGAAACTTGCTCAATGCCTTGGGACTAAATGGCGATCCATCTCTGGGAGCGCTGCGGCTCTGGCCGGAAACACAATCAAACGGTCTCTCTTCGCAGCCACCTAGTAATCGAGAATTCTGAGCATTTTCTGAAATGGAATCGCTGACCATTTTCTAATGCTTTATTAGACCGATAAATATTTGAAAGAATAGATATTTAATGAGATTTCATACTTCCGGGCTGTGTTGCGGCAGTCCCTGTGTCGGTGGCTGTGTTCTTGCACTGATCCGGCCCAAAGATCCACAGAAGAGCACATGGGCTCCCAAATTATCCGTTCCTCCCAAAGTCGATTATGAGCAGGAGACGGAGACCGATCCTCATCAGTAATGCATAAAAAAATGCAGCATAAAGAGAGAAACCAAAGCATTGATATTTTATGTTATCGGATATTACCCAGACTTCCGCAGTCCACCACTGTTGAATTTGGCACTTTACATGCAACGTATTCTGTCCATACTAACGACCGACCAGATGCTTCTGTGGATGACGCGAGTCGACTGACGAAATGCCTCTAATCTGATGGTCTGCCCCTCGGGGTTCAATAAATTCCGGGGAACAACTGCCAAGGCACCTCGTGCTCGTATTGAATCCACTGCTCTCCGTACTTCTCCCGACAATACTTTTCAATTGCAGGCATTGCATTGAATACAAAGTTCGAAATATACATTCCGGCAGTTGCCAACGAGTAAAGAAGACCCCCGGTAGCAAGGCCATATCCAAAGCCAAAAAGCACATTGGCAGTGTAGTTGATATGTCGAGTAATTGCCCAAAAGCCAGTCTTGCATACTTTGGATTGGTTTTCTTTCTTCGCCTTGAATGCCATTCTTTGAAGCTCTGCAAGCAATTCCAACGCAGCGCTGGCCATGAAGATAGTGAAGCCAGCGTAAAAGAAGCGCTCCGAAAACATTGGATTGATCGATGCAGTGGTGAAAACTAGCGAACTGATGCTTTCGTACGTGAAGTCCGAGAGGACGGCAAACGCGGCGAACTTCAACGTCATGCGCTCGCGGAGCATGAAATTTACCCATAATATATGCTTGATTGAAAGAGTTGCAGGCATCAATGCTGCCAGAAATGGAAGGCGTGGAAAGGTCCGTCCAAACAATGCGATAGGAGTAGTGCCAGCGGGCGGAGGGGGTACGCCCAAATGAGATAGTGGATGAGAAGTAATCAGAACATACTGAGCAGGACCCGTAATCGCTCTACAAATGGTGAATAGCAGATTTGCTGAGATGTTCCTGCCATAATCGCCCCTTTGTATACCGAGCGGATCTTGCGATGACATTTGTGGGTTGCTATGCTCCATCGAAGACAAAAGGCCACCAGGTGGAAAATTCGAAAGACTGTTGTATGACATCGAACTTCTTTTTGAGGCGAAACAATCACTGTTCAGGCGCCCAACTTTCAGACGTTGAGGAGGCGCTGGTGGCCTTACAGAATGGGACAGGCCCTTTGGGCAGACCTAAGTAGTAGGGAATATAACGTGCGTACTTGGCGCGCCTGAGGTTCCAATGTAGTGTCCACAAACACGTTTGAGGTGAAGGTTGTCCAATTCAGGCCCTTCTTCATTTCCTTCGGGAAGTTATCGTCTGCGCGAAGCAAGTGAAGCATTGGACTCATTTCATCAGTAGCGAAATTGCCGATCATGTATTGAACATGGAAAAGGATAATCATTGAGGTCACCGAGTTCCGAGTGTCGACACTCCCCAAACTCCTTTCTCCCATTATTTCATTGACTAGCTTCGGGTTTCCTTCCAATCACGGACTTAGTGATATGTGCACTGTACACACCATCGAGCAGAGCATCCTTCTTCATCTGCGTAAGTAATTGTCGGGCCTCTTGACCTGCTCCCATATCCCTTGCTTCCAGGACGGGGAGTAATTGTGCAATTAGAGCATACCAATGTTCGAAAAATCCACGGAAAACGGAAGGAGGAGGTCGCTTCCTATGAGCAGCCACATTCTCCAAGCCTGCTTGTGCGTAGTATTCTGACAACCGATCAAAATGTTCCGTTGGCCATTGGAATGTCTTCATCATGATCTTCCAAATCTTGGTCGAAGCGTTGTGTGTGACCTCCGGATTGGGGACGCGAGTAGGATCATTGGTGGAGTAGACGTTGTTCTTGTCTGCGTCGAAGTAGTCGTATTCGTCCCACTGGAGATAACCCCCGGGTTCTAACACCATCTGGTTAATACGTTTCTCATTCCGCAGGCGACGAAAGCGCATACTCAGCATTGACACGAATTTCTGCAGGACTGCTCTGGGATCCTGATATCCTCCGAAAGGCTGGATAACAAGTCTGACGTGAACAAGATCAAATGCCCCTTCCCATTTGTCAGGCACTGGGTCGAAGAAGCTCCATTTGCTGACTGACAGGTTCGATGGAAGGTCAGGATTTGGGGGCGCTAAGCTCAGGTTGATGTCCGAAGCCTCCACTTGAGCATGAGGATACTCTTCTGCAACCTGCATAGCCCATAGACAGTGACCAGCAGCAAGTTCGGCTATACGAAGATCCTGCTTGTCATTCAAGTCGATGGAGGGGTGGATGTTGCTCTTGTGAACCTCTCGCCACAGGAAGTGCTGATAGCATAGTCGGCTTGCATCAGGTGCCGTTCTCCAGATGGAGCACTCGTCGTTGCTGATAACCACGTTTATAACCATGTTTGGAGGGAGGGCGTGGTGGACTGTGGACAAGAGATATCCGACAAGGATGGAGATGGGAAAGAAGGCGACATAGCAGGGTTGTCTCTGGGAATATATAGTCAAGCGAGCCCGTCTTCACGCCGTGTGATTGGGACTATTTGGCATCTTCTTTCGGCATAGTTGGACAAGAAGATACGACATTGAGTTGAATTGCTTGACTCAGCCATCAGATCGCGTTTTGGAGCTTGATCCTCCAGCTCATATCGTGATATACCATGCTTGAACGCATTCACCTTAGCCCAGACGCACGGCTGAAGCGTCTCCATCGGAGAGACCTTTACCTTCACGTAAAGCGATGAACATCTTTACCTCATCGAACTGTATATCTCAGACCCAAAATAAAGCAACTAGGATCCTTGCGATGAAGCTAAATCTCGCTGTTCCCAGGACGAATTGTCGGTTGGCTGTTTTCAGAAAAGTTGCTAATCGTCAACGCGTGCCACGATAGTCGTTGACATAAAGACACGCGCCAGCCCCTTCCTTCGCAAGGTTAAGCCTAATCTGCCAAGCAGCGACTAGACAATTTGGTGCCAGTGCTCAGCCAGATTGCGGAGACTCCGCGGGCTACGACAGGCTAGTGATGATTTCTAATATGGGCAACTTCTGCAGCTCAGCTCGCTGGTCCCGACACAGATTGACCGCTCGACTGCTGCCACACAAGGTCCTTTTGCGGAAGCTGCTGTCAAACTTCCAGCTTCATCGCTTCCACAGACATTGTTCTGACACGGTGTGTGGACTTTGTCGCACTCAGTATTAGTCGGCGCCAAAAGGTATTCGGGAAACGATCAACCAGCTTCGAAAATCATAAATTGCGAGCAACTTCCTCGCCGACCATGGATTCGCCAATTTGTCCAACATCTCATTCGGGACTGCAAATTTTGCGCTCAGCATGGCAGCATTAGAGGTGGAAAAGTCGCAAGGAGTTCACATCACATCCAGCGTCTACATTCCAAACCAAAAACATTAGTCCAATGACAACGGAGACCCAAGACGAGAGAATTTGCACGAGATAGCTGAGAGAGGCCATATAGCGACCGACAAGCAAGTCTTTCATTTACAGGCCGACCACATTTCATTGACTAACTGATAAGATATGGGAACTGGTTGGTCGCTTTGGATGCGGAGACTGATGGCGGGTTAAGGGACAAAAATTGACCTTCATGTGGTGCCCACCGTGCCCATTTTATAATTATTTTGCTTCATCGACCGAGCTAATATCGGTGGCTATTACCCGTTATCCATGTTCTATCTTTGACACTAATGTCGAGTTAGGCAACGGAAGGCTTGCCGGGTTTGAGAAAGACCTCGGACTGCAAGGCTACGATTACAACAAAATGCTAACCGCATTTTACATCGGCTCTGTCGTCTTCGAAATGCCCTCAAGCTTCGCCTGCAAGTTCTTTGGCCCGGGGTGGTTTATTCCCACGATGGAAGTTGGGTTTGGTGTCTTCTCGTTTCTGACAGGCTTCTGTACGAATATCCAGAACGTTTCCGCTGTCCGGTTCCTGCTTGAAATGCGTGAAGCCGGAATGCTTCCCGGAATCGCATGCTGTCTTTCCTAGGTGGTACCGACGGAGCGAGCTGGTCTTTCGTTTATCGTTGTACATTATCATGACTCCACTTGCCGGGCCTTTGGGGGTCTGCTTGCGTCGGCGATCTCGACGCTTGACCGCTTGGGCTACCTACGAACTTGGAGGATGGTATTTGTCATCGAAGGCACGATTACTTGCGGCCTAGGTCTACTGTCCTTCTTCACCCTGACCGGTCGACCCAAGACAGCCAGATGGCTTATGACCGAAGAGAAGGACCTCGCCATAGCACGAGTGAAATCCGAACGAACAGCAAACACAGAAGTACTCGACGAATTCGACTAGAACAAATTACTCAAGGGAATCCTCAACCCCGTGACACTGGCAACCGCAACAAACTTCGGCCTCAGAAACATCACAGAGCAGGGCCTCGCATTCTTTGCGGCGACCATCGTCAAGAGCATTTACCCTCAGCATAGCGTGGTTTCACAACAACTGCACACCGTACCTCCTTATATTCTTGGTGCAGGCTTTGTACTCATCTTACCCTAATTGAGCTGGAAGACTGGCCGCTACCTGATTTACTACATCATTGCCCTTCTGATCACACTTTGTGGATTTGTGATGTTCCTCGGAACACGAAATACCGATGCTCGCTACGGTGCAACCTTCCCAGAGGCTAGCTCTGCATTTCTGTTTGGAACTTTGAGCAACGCTTTGATATCGGTGAATGTCATCTCGGACACTTCAAGGTCTGCCGCCACAGGAACCAACGTTCTGTTTGGGAATATCGGGGGACTAGTTTTAACATGGTCATACCTTCCCTTTGAGGGCCCTAATTACCCTATCGGCAGTGGCTTGAATCTCGCGGCCATCTCGTGCTATTTTGTCCTCCCCGTCACGCTCCTCCTATGGATGAAGTACGACAATCAGAAACGCGCCGAGAGAAATATGGACTCAGAGGTCAGTGGACTGTCGATCAAGGAACTTCAAGATCTGGACTGGCAGCAACCAGGATTCCTTTGGAAGCCTTAAGAGATTTGAGAGCAGCTAAGATATGGCCTGAAATTTCATCGTCATCACCGAGTTTGATCTTTTGGCTATGCTTAACCCGACAGTTAGGCGACGCTGACGACGATACTTAATCAGGATATTGAAAGTTTGTTCAAGACAACAGAGAATTCAGTCATTTAGAACCTTCTGACAGAGTGCTCTTAGATAAAGCACATATCTCAAATGGCTTTGGCATTGCGCAAAACACAAGTTTGAATCCCAGGTCTAGTAAACAGGGTAGATACCCATCCAACTTCCGTGGCGACTTGGCGAAGTCGGGCCGTTGATATCACTTTTCACAAAATGCGGAAGAATTTCTCCGGCTAGCACCGTCCCAGCGGCTACAGGAAGAAATTCGGAGAGCTCATCCCCTGCAGCTGCTCTGACGATATCAGCAACTGCACTTGGACTGAGATGAGTTGAAGTTCCTTCTGGTCCCCAGCGGAATGGATAGGTCATCCAAGCAGGAGGCTTCACTCCAACCCAGTCGGCCGAAATGAGTTCGCATTTCTTAGAGCAATCCAGCTTACGGTCACTGGTGGCGGTGTCATTGCGGACGAAAAAGTCAAAGCCGGCGGGGATGCCTCCAATCTTCTTGGACTCTGTTGGATTGGACCCTGCGTGAGCAAAGATTGCGTGACCATTGCGAGAGGAGAAGATGATGGGTTGAGTTCCCTGGAATTTGAAAGCTCGATCAATCTGGTCGCCGGTGAAGAATTGACCTTTGGCATGTTGTGAAAGCCAGATGCTAATGATCTTCAGCGTCGAGTTGTCAACACGAACCATGCACATTTCCCAATCCCCCACGTGTTCGCCGAGTGGCGCCACATTGATATCACCGGAACTTGTGATGCTGTCCATCATGAGCCCGTCAATATGGAGGGTTCCCGGTCCGTTGTAGGCATTGAAAAACCAGAATTGCAGATCCGTGTACGGCATGCCAGATTGCCAGAAAGCACGGACGTATGCTTTTGCGGTCGAGAAGTCGCCTTCCTTCCCGTCCAGTGCAAGATCCAAATAGAATTGGCCGTCGCCGCCCTTCTGGGGTAGTTGATCGGCTTTCGGTGCTTGCACTCGCGATTTCGCCTTTTTGTCGACGAGTATACAATGACTCAAAAATTCTTCGATGGACGTGTTGACATATTTTTCATCGGGGTGAAGATTGAGAATTGGGCCATAGAGCTTGATGACTTTTTGCAATTGATCCAGTGTCAGCGGTTTGGCTGTCGTTGTGATGGCCGTCGGCGTCACCAAGCCTCGTACACTTGATTGGACCACCTGAGGATGAAACGCGACAGCATCGGTGAAGATGTGTTTTTCCTCCATTGCTGAAGTCATGATTGACGCAGCCTTGTTGGTTAATGCATATAATGAAGTTTGATGGATGGGGAAGTATGAGCCTTCATATAGGTAATCTTGATTTTCTAGTGTCTGATGAGCTGAAATTCTGCTCGTACTCGTACAAGCCACATGCTTCGCTGCTCTTGGTGACCAAGGGTAAGCCTCAGCTGACTTGGCAGCCCAGTTTCCTTGTAACAGCCGTGTTGCAAACGGGTTGGGTGGGAGAAGTCGGCTGAGTCGCTCTCTGGCAAGGTTGATACCACAGGTTGGCAACAAGCTTGGCTTGAGCTCTGTGAATTGATTTCACACTGCATCAGGGGATTGTCCTTCGAGACGAGAGTCATTCACGAGTCTCGTAGGACCCTGTGTTAAGACTTGCACGACTGCTGGAAATGGGGGTTCGTGTCCAATGTGCCCCGCGGCTGAAGGGACTACTGGTGAGATGTAAGATGGTGAGGCTGGCTGGGAGCTCGTATTGCTCAGCTCCGTGGAGCGAGAGGAGGTCGAGTGTGACTGATCACGAGGGCATCCGTTACTTACCCGCATCGGATTATTTGACTAGTACTCCGTTGACTTCGATGGGTATAGGGCGCAAGTTAGTCGCCAGTCGTTGCCAGGGTGCCGAGCTGCACCTTTTAGCTGGGACCTAGAGGCGAATCTATGTGTGCAGCAAGAAAGATCATTGCAGAACTTAAGAACAGCGAGGTGTTGCCTTCCTCGGAGATGATTCAACAATCCATCTGTCGAAGAAGTAAATTGCGATCCCAGTTAGGGACATCTGCCTTCTCTGGCAGGTCCATCCGGGAAACTGTTTTCATTTAAGCATGCCGCCCAATAAGATCAGCTTCTTCCCACTGAAACCTTCAACCTAATCTGGAATACTCAACTCTGATGAGAAGTTGGAGAGCATTGGTAGGTTGCTATTATTTCTGCAATGCCGACAAGCGAATTGCAAAACAATGCAGTCCCCGACTGATAATAGATTTACTGGATTCAAGAAAGCATTTACACCGAAAGGTGCGATAGATAGTCTTACAATCACTTATATTAAGCCGAATATCACTCTCCGTCTCCTTTCTGAGAAGCATACAATCTACTTGAGCGTGCCGATCTCACCAAAATGGCTCCATCTCTTGATCTGAATATGCGATGGCAAGACCAGAAAGTTGTCAAGGTGGATGGACGCTGGACAGTCGATGGGTGAGACATCCGAGATCTCCACATGGAAGCTTTGCTGAAAGAGGTTGTAGTCGTCCCGGTAACACTGTGGAAGTTGTCTATCAACATCAACCTTCGAACATTCCTGGGATGACTTTTATCGGCTTGAAAGTCACATCCCCGATCAATTCCGCAACTCCTCCCCACAAGCACGGAGGAGCAGCCGTGGTTGCGACATTGATTCGAGGCCGCATGCTGAACCAAATGGAGTGCGATGGGAAGAATGATGGGCCTAAGGTGCACTCAGAAGGCGAGTGCTGGTATGAACCCCCTGGATGCCACCATGTCAGGAGCGAGAACGCTGGAGATGAAGATGCCGTGTTCATTGCAAATTTCGTCATTGAGACGAAGAAGATAGAAGTCCTTGGGATCCCGGGAGCTCTGGTCCAGATCGATGCCGAAGAAGCAGAAAGGAAGGACACTAAATAGTCAGTCAAGCACATATGTGAAGCCATTATTGCACGTAACCAGGTAGATAATAATAGGACCCCTTCTCATCGGGAAGCCGGCAGGGTCATTTTCCAACTGGTCCGAGTTGCAGGTTTGGATGCGAGGAAGATTCGGAGCAAATGCTTATCTACTGCATCCATGTGAGGGCTTTAAAGCTTGTGAGTTAGATCGACTAACCAAGGTACGGCTCAAAAGGCAAATGTTCGTCGAGTACGTCGGCGGCGAGACCGGAATTGATGGTCGTGAGATCGATTCACTTTGCCCAAGTGGTGCAGATGTTGTTCTGATAGGGTAAATTCTTCCGTCAAAGGACATCTCAATGTTGCAGTATTACCTCAGAAAAGGTACGATCCGGTAGAGTCAAGAGGAATCCTATAGCTTCATTCTGAAAAGTACAGACCTTTATAGGTATTTGGCAATTTGATCGAGAGATCTCGAAGACGTTTGAGCTGACGTGCAATCAGACAAAAGTAATTCCCAGTATCAGAGACCGAGTGTCGAGAGGCACTTCAAAAAATCTGGAGACGGTAAGGGCAACATGAAGTATTGGAATTGGTGTTCCACTTAGCTGTAACGAAGACGAGCCCTGACCGGGAATGATCTCTTCGGTTATGTTGGAAAAACGAACATCATTCTGCTATGAGGCAATCTGTGGGAATTTCTTGAGCCTCAGTATCGAGTTCGTGAAGCAATGGAAGAAGTCGAATGGGTAGCGTAAGGGTATTTTTGCAAGTCTAAATAGCATAACGCGGAAGGTGGGATACGCAATATGATACCCCGGTCGGTGCATTGAATGATTGCGATACTGTCAGACAGGGGATAATTCCTCATACAAAAGATCCGTTGCGACGAGCACTAAACAAGTCTTGAGAAAGCAACAAGGACGGAGGGCCGTCTGTGCGCGTGGCCAAGAGCAGCGAAGTAACGGCAGGAGAGCTGTGAAGGCTGAAATGAAATTCTCATAATCTTTCGACGGTAGGCACACTAGGCAGGTAAATCGCCAACGACGAGGACCCCTGGAGATGGGCAAATAGATCGCATCCAGAACTTCCACTGTATGCGTGACTCTTCTTGCAAAGCCTCATATCGAGGAGCGCCACTTAAAGCACGTTCGACAGGGCGATGAAGCAGGCCAGCAGAAGAACACTGGTTCCAACTTTTTTATGAACCGCACCGTTTGTGGCCGAGGCCGAGGGTGCTGACCCTGTTGTCGTAGCGGTTTCAGGGACGCCACTTTGTGTAGAGCTGGCGGAGCCTGTTGCAGTCGTGGATGCTCCACCAGTGGCAGGTGTCGTGGCAGGTGCGATACTGGGACCCGGACCAGCAGTTATCATGTCTCCGTTCCCGCCTGGGTACGTCCCGCCAGCTGCTTCGGTAAAATCTTGAGGAATTTGAGTCTGGTTGCTGACGAAGAAATACATAGCGGCCGCCGGTATACGACCTAGGTTCGACTCATCGAGAAACAGGGTCAAGTTGAAATTGGTTCTATTTGTAGCGCTATAACCCTCGAAGGCAGAGGGAAAAGTAAAGTTCTCGTGCTGAAAGAAGGCGTAGAAAATGTATCGATGGGCAGAGGAGTTAGTGGGAGGAGATGGATTTCGGTAGGGCGCTCGCGGTTCGGTGGAGTTGATGAGTTGGCTGGTTCCATCAGCAGCCTGCGCCCCTGGTGTCATATCGGTTTGCAGCCAGTGCAGGATGAATCGAGCGGTCGGATCTTGAGGATATCTTGCATCAGGGTCAACCATCAGGAGGACGTATGATCCGTTGTAGCTGAAAATGGACTGGAACCGGGAGGTCTCGACAGCAACCGTGGGTTCTTTGGAGGTAACTGCGCCCCCAATCAGCATCGAGGAATGAAGCAGACAACGAAATGTGTACTCTCAACACCAAATAGCTCCGCTTCTGTGACAACGACGGAATTGCCATTGTTCTGGTAAGTAATGGACAGAGCCGTGTCGTTTGGTGCCTCAGGGAAGCCAAAGTCCGGTGGAGGAATGGCCAGAGCAGGTGAGATGACCAAAAGCAGAGGAAACGCTGGATGGCAGCGCATCTTGGACGAGATCGGGACGGGCTACTGTCAGTGAAGTTGAGGCGGCACGAGTGAAGCCTAGGTTTTCAAGTCCTGAAAATTGATGAGCATGTTGTAGAGAACGCCGTGTTTTATGGACAAGATGGGTAGGATGGGCAACGTCATCGCCAATGCGGCCACTGTCAGTCGGTGCCTTCAAGTCACATTCGTGAGACGGTGACAGGTCCTTCCCTGCCGAGACGCATACGAGTACATGATAGATATTGTGCCGTGTGCCGTTGAAACCTCGCTACCTCCTATACCAAATACAGGAGTAATGAGTACAAGTGAAAAAGGAAATGTCGCCCTTCCACCCACCAGTTAGGTCTTGCATAACGCGCTTGGCGGCGACGGTGGCGGTGGCATAAGCAAAGGGGGAAAACTGCCTCGCGACTCTCTCCTCGATCCTCCTCTCACATTCTACTCCATACTCTGTGTGCACTTCCTAAGCCTACAAGATGACACTAGTGATACGATTCTACCTCGTACATCCTCTGGTGAATACTTACCATGCACTGTCCGCTTGCAGAAATGGTCTCGGAAGCCGGTCTCTCCATCGGATCAGCAATGGTCCTGGTGCCTCCGTAGCCTTTGTTGCTTTTCTAATGACGAGCTGTGCGATCTAGCGCTAGCCTTAGCAAAGCCACAACTCAAGCCTGGTTGAATAAAGGAGCCACGGGACTTCAGCTTTCCTGTCCTCCCGTCCTTTGAGGCGCAGATGTTCCCCAGTGTAGAATTCTCCATCTGCCTGGTTAGGCTTTCGTTAATAGAAATATTAATAGTCATTTAGAAACTGGAATCAAGCGTGGGGATCCCTTTGACGAAATCAACTTCTTCGGCTCTGCCGATACGTCTTCGTCCACCAACCATCTCAACAAACCTAGTTTGGTGTTGTTGCCATTGTCAGCACGTCGATTGTGAAGGGCCGCTTTCGAAATCAAATTCGCCTCATCAATTCTAGTGTTGCTTTGTGTGACAGCTAGCTGTCAGCTGTGAATGGCAACGCCAGGACCACTACCGCCGAGTACTGAGGATGAAGGCTTTAAGAGTTGATTGCTGTTGCGCCAGCGTATACAACACTTCCCCATTCCCTCTCTCCAGTCTTAATGTTCAACCCAACAATTCAAGTAATATCTTCTATGCCCATAAGCAAGCACTCGCTAAGTCTTCGCTTCTTAGTCGAAGGACAATACCATAATCCTCACATCCATTACAACTTGCTCCAATGCTTCCTACAACCATGGGCATCTCGACCCTCGCAGCCAACGCACTCCCTATTCTCCTCATCACTGCCACCGCGCAAGCGCAATACGGCCCTGAGGACAACAGAGACGATGGTAAGTTTAACGCCGTGAGATTCTTCCGCTACACCGACCGAAATTGTGATGCCACCCCTCCATTCTAGAGACTTTACGAATCGACATCCCGCCCCTGTTTCAAACACAAGTGGAACAATTCATCAATCAACGTGTCGCCGGCTCAATATTCCTTGACGCTATCCAACCGGGCTGCAAATTCGAAACGTTTCCAGCGGGCTTTGGCTTTGAAGAGAGTCTCAAGGTGGAGCCCGCCATCTAAACTGGCATTGAAGAAAGGTTGGCCAGTCCGAATGGACAATAGTTTTATTTAAATTTCGGCAAGTACCGGGTTTCGTGCAAGAATCAAAATCAGTAGAAATAGAGGGAATGGCTTTGTTGGAAAGGAAATAACGGTGGCATTTTTGAGCCGAAAGGGGATGAGTAAATACAGAATATTGAGCAGCTTTGGAGCAGAGGATTCCTCACACGTCTCTCGTAATGGTTGTCTTTTGCGTCCTGGAACGGAAGGATTCCACACATTCAAATCTACCTATTCTGATGTCGCACCGTCATGCCTTTCGTGAGGTTCTCGGCCGGGCCAAAACGCTATAACTGGAAGCTCAAGGCTGTGGTGAGGATGCGAATGCTTTATCCCTACGTTGAAAGCTGCATGGAAAGCAGCTACTCAAATGTAAGACCGTAAGTGGGCAAAACAGCTGCAGTCGTCCGCTGAACAACATCTGCAAGGGTAGAATTGGTTGTCCAAAATGGAGGCACCATCTAAGATAATTTAACTCCAGCCGCCGCTTTAGTCTCTCCCCTAAATGCATCTTCGTCCAACTCCTTTCAAATCTCTCGAGAACTCGAAATAACCCCATAACGCCTTGGAAGCAATAAGGTGGTCGGGGAAGGAAAAAAAAAACATTAAAGCTCGTCTTCTTAACCCAAAGCGTATCTGCTCCGAGACCGTAGAAACTTTCCATATCGCAACAATAACCATGGCGTAGGAAGAAACGTGACGCTTATGAACGCAACCAGCGATATACCCCATTGATGTCTAAGCTTGTCGAGCATTTGGGACGTAAAGAGCGGAAACGCCGCACATACCCCATAACGTAATAAGCCGTTTCCTGTAAGAGCAGAGGCCCCCGCTTTATCTCTATATATGTCGACCATATAGGCACTATAGTATGTCTGATTACGAAGGACTTTAGCCTATGTTCTGTTAATGAAGAGTTACAACGAAGGAGTAACTCACAAAGTGAAGCACCTAATAGGGCCCAAATAGCGCAGCCGACAGCACAGTAGAGATTCAAGGAACACCTCGATGTGAGGACCAGGCAAGCCTTTGTCGTCGTTAGCAGAACAACAACCTTGCACAGACAAATCTGGGATGCAATATCTTACCAGAATAAACTGAAGGGTAGTAGCCCACTTAGTACCATCGTACCATACATTTTCGCTTCTAGAGGCGATCTCTCATGCAGAGCCTTTGCTCTGGCTCTCTAGTAGTCTTATCAACCGCGATGGCGGCCGGTATAGCAAGCAGACTCCCGACAGCAAGCAAGATGTATGCTAAGCCGATCTCCTTCAATTCAAAGGAGTAGACCTACTCAGAATATAACGATAGACCGCGTAGAATAGATAAGAGACGCCTAAGGTGATAGCGCCATAAAGCGAGACAAGCAGCAGGATCGATTCGGAGAGGAACATATAGACAGTGCGGGAGAACGTGACTCCCAGGACGGATAGAAATCCTCGTGACGTAGAAGATTGTGTCCAACTCGGCCATGACTCTTTTTTTACACTAGGAGATCGTGGTACGTTTCATGTAGGAAAGCTTCGGGAAGCGTGGTCTCAAGAGATGGGAAGTGCTAGAACACAAGCCCGGTGCGGATGGCGCGCAGCCAAAGTTCGGCGTGGGAGCGATATTGATCTTCGATACGCCTGAGCAACTGGGTGCGGCATTATCTTCGAAGGATGTAAAGCCCGTCTTTAGAGACATCGTAAAGTTCTATAATAAATAGCCCGTCTTTCTTAGAGAAGAGCTAATAAGAACTTCTTAAATAGACGCTGGGCGATCACGAAGAGAAATATTAATATAAGATAATATTTCTTAGCTCTTAAGAGAGAGATCTACTTATATTCGCGATTCTAGAGTAGTTATTAAGTAGTAGAAACGATTAGTAACGTCTTAGGGTTATCTTAAGTAGATAGTAATAAAGGTTCTTTTCGTTTTCTCTTTTTTCGTTGCTAAAGGTCGTAGTTTATCTCAACTTAGCTTTTTCTCGCCTATAACGCCTATTAATTACGCCTAGCCTTACTTAGATATGTTCTTTTCTGAGTAGAGTACGAGTTGAAACCCTTTTATCTCATCGCTCACAGTATAATTCGACAGCGAGTGAGCGACGACGGAGAAACTAAGGAGAAAAACTATCCCATTAACTATCATTGGCACCTAGAATTATCTTAGGTCCTTAGACCCGATATCGAGGCTACGCCCTAATTGGCTAGGCTATGAGATAAAGCACTAGCTAATCACCTAATTTAAAGAATGTTGCGATAAACGAGTCGGAGGCTCGATACGTGAAAATGGCCGAGATTTCCTTTGAGCGTTTAAATGACGTTATTACTATAGATTTTATGTATAGTAGTGTCACGAATCTACCGTTGGCCCTAAGTACCCTACGCCCTTCACCGGATTCGGTTGAGTGGTATAGGAAGAAAAGAATAAGGTAAAGAATGGTTCAAGATAAGACTATTTAATAGTGACTAAATATTTAGGGATTTTAGGTAGCATAGGTACGCTTGCCCCTGCAGCCGTAACTCGTATGTGCTCGGCGAAATCCCCGCGAGTGCGGGGAAGGGTTAACTCCGCACCTACATAATTTCATTAGAAGAATCTCCAAATAAACTATGATGTCGATAACCTCGGCCTACTTACTAACTGCCATATTTTTAAAGAAGAATCTCGAAACCGTAGGCGGTTGAACAAAGCCTAGTATAATATCCCTCTAAACCTAACAGCAAAATTATGTCTGACGAACTCGACATCCCTTCAATCTGCGCTCAGATCTCACAGTCGTACTCACCTTGCGACGTCTCTGATGCTCTTCTAAAACTTCATATTCCCTCTGCCGGCTTCCTTCGCGACATCTCACCGATTCCCACTCGTCATGGCTCTAGCCATCGCCTTGTTGCCCCTATCAGTACCGTGCTTTTTGTCGACAACGCCCATACTCCAGGCACCGAATATGACGGCTTAATTGTTCCTTCAAAATCCAATCTCCCAGGCGATAAACACTTCTCCGATGTTGCGCCTGCAGGATCCGTGGTCCTTATGCAGCAGCCCTCACATCAGATCGCTGCTCTCTTGGGTGATATCGTAGCTACACGCTACAAAGTTCGTGGCATTAGCGGCTGCTTTATCGATGGGCGAGCTCGTGATATCGTTGGATGTGGTGAGCTGTGTAAGGATGGGAGCTTTCAGTGCTGGGCAAAGGCGTTGACTAGTCCTGGTACGAGTCTACAAGGGAAGCCATGGGCAGTGGATGTGCCAATTAAAATTGGAGATGTGGTGATCAAGCCAGGAGACTTATTGGTGGCAGATGAAGCAGAGATGGTTTGCTGTGTGATTCCGAGGGAGAAGTTAAGCGAGGTTATGGAGTTATTGCCGGTGCATAAGGAAGCAGATGACGGATTATTACAGGACGTAAAAGACGGGATGGCTTTTAAAGAGGCGATTAAGAGATGGCCAAAGCATTACAGTAATCATTGATAGGGACGCCATAATACCGACATTCTTAGTCTCGAGTGTCACTCCAGCAGTCGTGGCAAAAGTAGCCTTTAATTAAGAAGATTATTAAGAAATCCCTCGTGAGGCTAACTGTTAGACACAGCCTTGCGGAAGACCGATTGCGAGTCGCACGAGCACGACTCATCACGCTCATTGGACACCTGGAAGGATCCACGGAGGAACAAGGCTGGATCACGTGATAGGCCCTGTTGGCCCTGTTGGCCCTATTGGCTCTGTCAACAGAGCGCACAGAGCGCACAGAGCGCACAGAGCGTAAGCATTATATATACACCCTCACTACCCTAGATAGTTACACTCCCTTCGTAGCCAACTCATGTTATCTACTGAACTATACAGTTCTTAGTAGTAGAGAACCCTACTCATACCTTGTGTCTTCCTCAACCAGCTCATACTATTCACGGATTGTTACTGAGAACCCTAACCCAGTTAGGATCAGTAGGGATCCTTAACACTTTGGCTACCACCCCCGTTGCGGAAGGCAACCCATATAAGTAGACCGAACCGACCCGCCTCACCTATAGACGAACTTACGTAACGTACTGCACGACTATCACTCAACGATAACACGATGTCGATAACCTCGAGTACACTAAGATCAACACTAAGCACCCTAAGAACTACGGCCAGTGCACCACCACCGGCGTATGGGATAAGTGTGGCAAGCTCTTCCAGGGACGTACCATTGACAGTTAGCAAAGGGAAGATTAGCAATCCACCTAAGCCCTTTAACGGCGTGGAGTCTAAGCTTATACTCTTTATTCACTATATAAATATGTATATTCTAATGAACCTCACTAACTTCCAGAACGACTTATAGAAGATCCTTTTTATAGGAAGCTATTTTGAAGGAGACGCTAAGGTATGGCTTAGACCCTTCGTTAAGAACTATATGGAAAACGAAGGAGACGATAGGGAAGACGAAACTATTAACCTATTCGAAACATTTATAGAGTTTAAGGAAACGGTGAAGCTAATGTTTAGGGTAAAGGATGAGGAAAAGAAAGTCTAAAAGAAAATAGTGGGTCTCCGATAAACGGAGTTAGTTTAAGAATACGCGATAAAATTTAGGACACTAAATATAGCTCTAGGATGGTAGGATAATATCACTATTCCGATCTTTAGAGAAGAACTAAAACTAAAGATTAAGTGGGAACTACGATATCTTAAAAAGATTACCTTAGAGAACTAGATCGCTATCGCTATTAAAGAAGATAACGATATTAAAGAATATCGGTAATAAGAACCCTACAATTCTAGAAAGATATAAGCTACGAAGGCTTAATAGATAAATATCTAGAAGAGACGTAAGCCGTACTACGGACTCTAATCTATGGATCTAAGCTAGGCGTAGAAACGGCGAAATAACCTTAGAAAGAATAAACTAAAAGAATCTTCCGGGAAAAAGAAAGAGGTTATCTACTATAGCTATGGGAAGCTAGGATACTACGTAAAGGAATGTAAAT